CGGGCCCTGGGGGCGGCGAGGCGGGCACCGTGCGCACGGGGCGCAGGGCGGCGGGGCGGGGCGCGCGGCGGGCACTCACCGGTGGTACGGCCGGACGCGTAGAGGGACAGCACGGCCTGGATGGCCACGTACATGGCCGGCACGTTGAAGGTCTCAAACATGATCTGGGTCATCTTCTCGCGGTTGGCCTTGGGGTTGAGGGGGGCCTCGGTGAGCAGGGTGGGGTGCTCCTCGGGGGCCACGCGGAGCTCGTTGTAGAAGGTGTGGTGCCAGATCTTCTCCATGTCGTCCCAGTTGGTGATGATGCCGTGCTCGATGGGGTACTTCAGCGTCAGGATGCCCCTCTTGCTCTGCGCCTCGTCGCCCACGTAGGAGTCTTTCTGCCCCATGCCCACCATGACGCCCTGCGGAGCGGAGACCCGGGCGCTCGTTACCGCGGCGCCGGCCACGCGAGGACCCCCGGCCCGGCCCCTCCGCGGCGCGCAGCCTGACCTGGTGGCGAGGGCGGCCCACGATGGACGGGAACACGGCCCTAGGGGCGTCGTCGCCCGCGAAGCCGGCTTTCACCAGGCCCGAGCCGTTGTCGCACACGAGGGCGGTGGTCTCGTCTTCGTCGCACATGGTGCTTGGTTTCTGCAAAGACAGCGAGGCCGCGGAGGTGACGGCGCGTCGGTCCAGGAGGCCCCGCGGGACCGACGGACCGCGCGCGTCAAACCGGGGGACGGCCGGAGGGACGGTGTCCAGCTTCCCTCCCCCGGGCCCAGCGCTGCTCTGAGCCGCGCAGAGAAACACGGGGGCGTGGGGACCACGCAGAATTTCTCCACCCCGGGAGCCCAGGGGCACCGTGTCCCCGGAGACCGCTGCGCCTTCGCCGCGCCACCCGCTGCGGGTCAGGTGCCCGCGCCCACCCTCCCCTCGCCTGGGGGGCCCGCGATGCCCACTCGCCCGGCGGGTGCGCGGGCGGAAGGGGCTGTGGGAAGGGCCGTGAGGCACCGTCCGAGGAGGGGCGGCTCATTCCGGGGCCCCACGACTTTCCGGAGCAAAACCTGGGCGCCTTTACCCGGATGGCAGCCCAGGGAGGACGGGCCCTCGCTGCCCCTTGGCTCTGGCGCTCGTGGTTGGGAGGCAGTTGCTTTGGGGGCGACTAAAAAGAAACCTTTGTGTCCCTGGGCACATGCTAAATGCCAGGTAGAGCAGCCAGAGGAGGGGCGGGTTTGGAGACGTTCCCAAAGGCCGGTCGTCTGGTGGCCCCGGGTCTTTAAAGGGAGCCTGGCTCCGGGGACCAGGGCGCAGGGCGCAGACTTGGGGCTGGTCAAGTGGGTCGGCGGGGCCCTTGTCCCTCTGTCCCCTTCGGGCTTCTGCCCTACCTGGGCGGGCGGCTACACCTGTCGCTCTCCGGCTTGGGCCCTGGTCGCCACGGGAGGGACGCAAGGCTCCTCTGGGCGATGTCCGCTGCGGTGGCCGACGGCGCCCCGCTCCGGTTTTATAGGGCCCGCGGGCGCTGCCAGCCCCGCCGCCCCGCAGGAATGTCGCTCCCCTTCTCGAGCCATATT